CTTCCTTGTATATTTCATCCCTCCTATTCCTCCTGTATCTTCCTTGTATATTTCATCCCTCCTATTCCTCCTGTATCTTCCTTGTATATTTCATCCCTCCTATTCCTCCTGTGTCATCCTTGTATATTTCATCCATCCTATTCCTCCTGTATCTTCCTTGTATATTTCAACCCTCCTATTCCTCCTGTATCTTCCTTGTATATTTCATCCCTCCTATTCCAAGTTCTCTGGCAAATTTCCGACAGAAATGATTAAATGAAATTAAGATCAAAGTTTCACCAACTAACCAACTCACAAAGTAACCAACCAACCAACTAACCAACCAACTAACTAACCAACCAGCCAAACAACCAACTAGCCAACCAACTAACCAATCAAACAACCAACCAACCAACCAACCAACCAACCACCCAACCAACCAGCCAAACAACCAACTAGCCAACCAACTATCGTATATTTCTATTTATCCTGTCCCAATTGTTTATGTTTAGTCTTAACTCTGGTAGCTAATCAATATAAAGGTGGTAGTAATCTGCACAGGAGGAGAACCAGGATAACCTGAAGAACCTTGCCAATTAATTAGTGTTCGAACTTGATTTATCCGTAGTACTCAACCTTGAACCTGGAGTAAATACAATTATTCTCGTCATACCACCTTCAAACCTCAATTCAATCCTAAATCAATTCCAGTTTAACTTCAATCCTATTTCTCCGATTTGTTCCAAACTCAACCTTGCTCTTGAAACCTTCAAACAAATACCTGGTCTCTCTCAATCTTATTATTCTTATTCTTCACATTTTCTATCTCCTAGCTGCTCTTCTCCTAGAGACTTCATATCTATTCATTCTCCTCTTAATTTCCAACCATGCCCTTATTCCGAATTCTTTTTTCTTTCTCAAAATCGTCCAAAGTTACATAGAATGTAGAGATGCCACTCCTTTAAGTGACAAGAAATATTCAAGAGACAGAAGAGGGTTTAAGAAACCTTGGATAGGTTTCTAGCAACTTGGGTGTGCAGTGGGTACTGTGTATTGAAGTTGGTTTTCCTTCTTTTTCTAGATTTGGAAAATCATAAGTTTTCCCAAAATCCTGGTTAGATGATTTCCAGATTCTATGTCTTGAGTTAAACCCTTAGATCATACTTTGATATCCTACCGGATTCAAATATACCATCCTGAGTTAGAATGTATTTAGAAAACACTCTGAAATCCGACCGGAGTATGATATACCACCCTGAGTTAAACCCCAGTCAGATCACACTCTGATATCCTACCAGAGTAAAATATACCAATCTGAGTTAAACCCTATATTTAGATCACACTCTGATATCCTACCAGAGTATAATACACCACCCTGAGTTAAACCATAATCTGATAACACTCTGATATCCTACCAGAGTATAATACACCACCCTGAGTTAAACCCTAGTCTGAACACACTCTGATATCCTACCACCCTGAGTTAAAGCCTTAGATCACACTTTGATATCCTACCAGAGTATGATGCACTACCCTAAGTTAAGCCTTAGTCAGATCACACTCTAGTATCCTACCACCGGAGTATGATATACCAATCTGAGTATAACGTTATATAGATCACATCTTATATCCTTCCGGGGTACATAATGATTCAAACTTGATAAAAATCATAGTCAGATCACACTCTAATATCCATCAGAGTGTTAAAACTTAAAACCAACCTAAAATTCTGGAGAAACCGCGTAATGTTGGAGCAATTTGAAACTGCTGGGTTGGGTTCTGAGATTAGATCTTTCAGAATTCCTAATCTAATGCAAACCTGGAGAATATCAAGCCAATTATCTTTTCAGACACCCAACTGACTAACACCTTTATGAGGAGGAAGGATGGGGTAGGGGGGGGGGTTAAGATTAAGAATTCTAAGTTGAACTGAGTAGGACGGATTAATTCTACGCATGCTCTTGTAGTTAAACTGAATATCCAGGTGCTAAATGTTGACCCAGATAATTGTTGTTATTGAGTACAATCCGACAAATAATGAGGGAAAAGGGGAACATATGTAAATAATAATTATAACCGGTGCAAATCATTGATTAGGTTTTATTTATATTTATTGACATTAAAAATAATTATAAATAATATTATTAGATAATATCATTAACGATAAACTATTAATAATTACATTTATCAATCCAGATAAAAAGTAATATTTGAAGTAGCAATATTATCAATAATAATAATAATGATTATATTGATAATATTGATATTAATAATAATAATGAAAAAATATTGATAACAGTAATAATAATTATGCTTATTATCTAGTGAAACATATTGCCGGAGCCCCAGTAAGGGAGGACGGAGACGGAGAGGATGGTGCGGCTGCCTCTCTGGGGCGGAGGATCCGCCGGAGATAACCTACTGTGTGGCGGATAATGCCGGAGGCGGACTAAGTTTGCAAGCTATTACTCCGACCACACCTATGCCTTCAGAAGATGAACTTAATGATAAATTTGCAGAACTAGTGGTGAGTACCAAGTAACCGATCATTTTTTTTGATAGGATATTTTCATCCCTATATCTTTGCAACATAAGTGTATTAGACCTTAGATATTTCATATTAAGAATTCTGTTAGATAGGATTAGAAAATTTAAGTTTGCAGCAAAGACTTGATTCCTTTGAAAATAATGTTAGTGATCTCTCACAAATTTTATACGGCGTAAACTGAGTAGAATTTTTTACAGTTTTCTTAATCTACGGTATTTAAGCATTAATAAATATGTAAAAGCTGTATCTCCGGTCTATAACCTGAATCCCATCTGTTAGTATTCCATGTTTGAATGAAGTAAGGTTTGGATATTATGATATTTGGTGAGTTTTTGCTGTCCCGACCCTCGCGTTTAAATGATGAGTTTGACCCTGATTCCCCCCTCACCCCACCTACCTCTGCCAATTCCCCGAAATTCCCCCACCTCCCTCCATCTGGCAGCGAAAGGATAAAAGTGGATGGTATGATAGCATGACTATAACTTTGTTTAATTGGAGTATATGGAGGATATGTTAGAGTATACTGGAGTATATGAAGGATATATCAAAGTATCCTGGAGTATATGAAGGATATATTAGAATATAATGAAGTATATGAAGAATATATTAAAGTATATTGGAGCATATGAAGGATATATTAGAATATCTTAGAGTATTTGAAGTATATATTAGAGTATCCTGGAGTATATGAAGGATAAATTAGAGTATACTGGAGTATATGAAGGATATATTAGATTATACTGGAGGATATGAAGTATGTATTAGAGTATCCTGGAGGATATGAAGGATATATTAGAGTATCCTGGAGTATATGAAGGATATATTAGAGTATACTGGAGTATATGAAGGATATATTAGATTATACTGGAGGATATGAAGTATATATTAGAGTATCCTGGAGGATATGAAGGATATATTTGAGTATCCTGGAGGATATTAAGGATATATTAGAGTAACCTGGAGTATATGAAGGATATATTAGAGTATAATGGAGTATATGAAGAATATATTAAAGTATATTGGAGCATATGAAGGATATATTAGAGTATCTTAGAGTATTTGAAGTATATATTAGAGTAGCCTGGAGTATATGAAGGATACATTAGAATATACTGGAGTATTTGAAGGATATATTAGAGTAGCCTGGAGTATATGAAGGATATATTAAAGTATACTGAAGTATATGAAGGATATATTCAAGTACTGGAGTATATGAAGGATATATATTGAAGTTGGTTTTCCTTCTTTTTCTAGATTTGGAAAATCATAAGTTTTCCCAAGGGCGTGATCGAAGCGAATAGACTGGGGGGGGGGAGGGATTGTAGCGAATATATGAGGGGGGGAGAGGGTGCTACCAGTTTAGATCTAATTAAAGATTTGCATACTCACAACTTGGTAGACATATTTATCCATCTATCCACACTTTCTATCTTTCTATCTTTCTATCTTTCTAAATACATTTTCGATCTTTTCATCTAGATTTTCAACCATTATATGAGACCAAAGTTATATCTGTCTTTCAATACTTTATGTCCATCTAGAATATCTACAGGGTTACCCGCATAGGATGAGACTGTGAAGACGACCCAAAAGTCTAAAACTATGACGATTTAAAGCTTGAATTTTTGGTTTCCGCATTTAATTAAGTTTTTGAGGGTTTACTAAATTATTAGGCCCTGAAATAAACCAGTTTTGGCCTACAATGTATACCCTGATGCAAGAAAACGGACTTAACAAATATTCCGTAGAATTGTCTCTAAACATATTCCGTAGAATTGTCTCTGAAGTCTCATTCTTTACGGGTAACCCTGTATGTTTCCATTCAGATTTTCGATTTTTATTTTTTTATTTTTCTTATCTCTACCTAGGTAACCTCTTGTGTATTCTCATTCTTACTGCTAACTGTTTCATTCCTTTCTTTAAAAAATCCTAGTAAATTTCTGACTTTCTATCTGTCCCTAATCCCTATCATAAACTATCTAAACTTTTAGAATATATTTTTAAAGTATACTTTTTGTCTTTCAAATTAAACTTTCAATCTTTCTATCTTCATCGACCTTTTCTCCTTTTTGCTAAATCTTTTATCGAATATTTTAATCTTTTCATCATCTTAACTTTCTTTTTAAACCCGCTTTTTGGGCTGCTTTTTAAAGCTTTATTCTTATCTATCTCCTTATCTATATTTCTTTCAACTTAAATATCTATCTAACCAAAATTTATATTTATCTATTCTTCTACAATTCTAGATATCAAACCAGAAGACTAAAAAATATAACTTTATCTTTCCATTCATTTATCTAACTAAACAACTTACCTAAACATTTATATTTTCATTCATCAACCAACCCATCAACCAACCAACCAACCAACCAACCAAGGAGGGAATGTATGAAACCTAGTGGTTAAGACTTAAGTTAAATTAATAAAGAATTTACACTTGATTTCTGAAAGGGACGATCTTAAGAAACCCTCCATTTAATAAGAGACATACTCGACTCAATCCTTTACCTGATCAATAATATAAAAGATATCGTTGTATTTCTAGCTTGAAAAGTGTTTGATTCCGACAACTTCATCCGTTGTTTCTAGGGTATAAATCTGCAAATTATTTCTACAGAGAACCCAGAAATGAAAATAATTCATTTTAAAAGACTAAAACATGGATACATCATTTATTCTTGATCGGACAATGCTATCTCGGATACCGTTGTACATCGGACAATGCTATTTCGGATACCGTTGTACATCGGACAATGCTATTTCGGATACCGTTGTACATCGGACAATGCTATTTCGGATACCGTTGTACATCGGACAATGCTATTTCGGATACCGTTGTACATCGGACAATGCTATTTCGGATACCGTTGTACATCGGACATGCTATTTCGGATACCGTTGTACATCGGACATGCCGCTTTAAAATGGTGGTTAACTAGCTGAAGGGCCCGGCGTTGCCCGTAGAAAAAAATAAAAAAATAATTTTTCTAGAAATATACATATGAATGTCTTGTTTTATTATAATCAACTAATCTTTTAATCTGAAAATATGGCTTCTGTGACAAGGAAAAATATCTAAAAATGTACTGTTGTTTAATTTCTGCAAGTATTTATTTCAGCAAAATTTTCTTAAGTTCGGGGTTTGGGGGTGGGATGGATCCATTTTAGGAATATGCAAAATAGATCCACTAAATTTACCTCAAACCACATATATGGTATTTATGCATTTATGTATTTTCAAGGATATCGAAATTCAGATAATTTTCCCTTGACACCCTTACCTCTCTCTCTCCTTGTTTAGGGATTTTTTGGCCAAATAAACAAATTGATGTAATTTGCATTTATGGTAATTGTTTAGAATTTCCTATCATTATCTTTTCTTAGGTTAATACAAATATCTCTAGAATGAATTTCTATTTAAATAAACCAGCAAATCATCATGTTGCATCTCAAGTTTTTAGATGAGTCATCTCTCCAAATCTTGAAAAATGCCAAATTTCTAGATCAAACAAGAAACCATTATTTCACAATATTTAATCATCTTGAGAACGCATTCATTTTACCTGTACCCTTGTCTCCGACTCCTTATTGTTATAAACTGCATTTACTTTCACAATAATTAATGCCTGCAATATGGGAAGTGTGTGCACTTAAACATGGAAAAAAATGTTATGCTTTTTGTCAATTGTCTTCTTGATTTTTGAATTTATCAATTATTTTACACTTTTATATCATGTTATATGTAGATATTGTAATATAAATACTGTTGAAGACCAGATCTAGTAAAGAGGTGTAGACCATGAAACAAGTGTCATTCTTTATTTTGGGTTAGTTATAAAGGGCAATTTCCGAAGTGACTTATTTGTCCAAAATATACAAAAAAAATGCCAAAGAATATTTTTCTCAATTTCACAAATGCTAATTTACAGTTTAAGGTTTTAGGTCTTTTGTACAATAAATGCTCCAAGGGGGGGGGGGAGTGATCGTGCCGTGGGTGGGATACTCTTGAGCGGGCCGAGCGCTGCAACTGAGACATTTGAGAAAGTGTCGCTCGGAATATATTCATCGGGGAAATTTTTTACTTTGAAACAAGTAGCTGCGGACCCTTTAATCTGAATTTAGGTAATTTCGGGTTATGGATGGGGGGAGGGCGGGGTCCAAAAATCGTTCTTTAGGACAGACCCCTGAATTTATACGCCAAATCTTCATTTTTGTTAAATTTCAGACTCCGAGAGGTTTCGTTACTCCAGTTCCCAGGTTCACAGGACGAGATCTCCTCTAGATCTAAACAACTGGATTGTTTACAGATTGCTCTGAGAACACAACCGCATTCCTTCGTTTCAAGATTCCTAGAGGTATAGAATTTTAATTCCTAGAGGTATAGAACTTTAATTCCTAGAGGTATAGAACTTTAATTCCTAGAGGTATAGAACTTTAATTCCTAGAGGTATATAACTTTAATTCTTCCTTCCCTCTTTAATATTTTCTAAATTTAAAAAAAAACTCCTTATTCTTGACTTATTCTCTTTTCCTTCTTCTTTACCATTCTCTAGCATATTCTTATTTTGAATGGGATTTTTTTTGCAATTTCTTTTGTTTCTTCTTTTCTCTCCTTTAATTTTCTCTTCGCTCTGTTTTACTTTTTTATTCTTTTGCTTTTCTTATTTTTTATGTGATTTTTTTATCTTCTCCCTCTTTTACTTCTTTTTGGTTTACTTATTTTTAACTATTTTTTTTTTACTGTGCTTTTCATTTTTTCCATTTCTCTCCTCTTTACCTTCTTTCTTGCATCTCTCTTTCTCTTTGATAGTTCACGTAGTTTCTGATCTTTCAGTTAATTACTCCGAACCTAGAAAACATGGAAACTTCATACACACTTCATCCTACCCGGAGCTGATCCAACCTTCCTACCCATCGCGTTCCTGGAGAAATATCTGCTCTGTATCAACCCAAATATTTAACTTTATAACCCTTAATATGTCACAACAGATGATTATACAAAAAAAAAACATAAAATAATGCTGAAAATTTGAAACTTACATCGTGATGATTTTTTTTTCTTTTTCTTTGCAACATAAATTCTCATTTTTTAGATTTAAAGACTAAAATATTTTCTTAAAAACTCTACATCGGATCTGATCTGCCAGTTAAATCTAGGGATCACCTCAAATTCCTTGTCATCTTGCTCTGTCAAGATATCAGATAATCAAAATTGGATCATTTCAAGCTTTCAAGAATTAGGATCGTTTTCTCCAATTTTCTGAGGACAGAACAATATAAGATGGTTCAAGATGGTTCTAGAACTATAGATAATTGTTTCTAGATTATAGGTTTCTTTTCAGAGAGAGATATCATTCTGGGATATATTTACTTAAACAAACAGACAGCTATACGGTCACAAACATGACAAATAGATGTGGACAAATAAACAATAATACTAGACAAACTTCTATAGAAATAGAAATAAACAAATAAATAGAAAAAGTGGAAAAATAGACAACTAGACTACTAGACAACTAGGCAGCTAGACAACTAGACAACTAGACAACTAGACAACTAGACAACTAGACAACTAGAAAACTAGAAAACTAGACAACTAAACAACTAGACAACTAGACAACTAGGCAACTAGACAACTAGACAACTAGACAAATAGACAACTAGACAACTGGACAACTAGACAAGTAGACAACTAGACAACTAGATAACTAGACTACTGGACAACTAGACAACTAGACAACTAGGCAACTAGACAACTGGACAACTAGACACTTAGACAACTAGACAACTAGACAACTAGATAACTAGACAACTAGACAACTAGACAACTAGGCAACTAGAAAACTAGACAGTTAGACAACTAGACAAGTAGACAACTAGACAAATAGACAACTAGACAACTAAAAAACTAGACAACTAGACTACTGGACAACTAGACAACTAGACAACTAGACAACTAGACAACTAGACAACTAGACAACTGGACAACTAGACAACTAGACAACTAGATAACTAGACTACTGTACAACTAGACAACTAGACAACTAGACAACTAGGCAACTAGACAACTGGACAACTAGACAACTAGACAACTAGACAACTAGATAACTAGACAACTAGAATACTAGAATACTAGAAAGCTAGACAACTAGACAACTCGACAACTAGACAACTAGACTACTAGACAACTAGACAAGTAGACAACTAGACAACTAGGCAACTAGACAACTAGACAACTAGACAGCTAGACAACTAGACAACTAGACAACTAGACAACTAGACAGCTAGACAACTAGACAACTAGACAACTAGACAACTAGACAACTAGTTAACTAGACAACTGGACAACTAGACAACTAGACAACTATACAACTAGATAACTAGACAAATAGACAACTAGACAACTAGACAACTAGACTACTAGAAAGCTAGACAACTAGACAACTCGACAACTAGACAACTAGACTACTAGACAACTAGACAACTAAACAACTATACAACTAGACAACTAGACAACTAGACAACTAGACAACTAGACAATTAGACAGCTAGACAACTAGACAACTCGACAACTAGACAACTAGACTACTAGACAACTAGACAAATAGACAAACTAGACAACTAGACTACTAGAAAACTAGAAAACTAGACTACTAGAAAACTAGAAAACTAGACTACTAGACAACTAGACAACTAGACAACTAGACAACTAGACAACTAGACAACTAGACAACTAGACAACTAGAAAACTAGAAAACTAGACTACTAGACAACTAGACTACTAGACAACTAGACTACTAGACAACTAGACTACTAGCCTACTATACTACAAGACAACTAGACTACTAGACAACTAGACTACAAGACAACTAAACTACGAGAAAACTTGACTACAAAAACAGTTACGCTACAAGACAACAAGACATACTAGAAAACTAGAAAACTAAAGCAAAACCAAAGTGAAACAAAAGTATACAAACACACAACTAAACTAAACCCCAAACCCTGTATGCTCCAGTGATGCATATAAGTACGCCCTCGACTCTACAAGATACATTAAAGCTACTTGTCTCTTAAATCCTCAACGTAAACCTGCCGTGCTAAATCCAAGGATTGATCTAACACCTGATAATGAATAAACTTTGTGAGTGTCTTTATGTCGGTTTGTGTGTGTAAGTTTGCATGTTTGTCTGGGGAAGTATGTGTCTGTTGGTTAAAGATTTTATCAATGCTGAACAAATTCTTAGTAATTATCCCACAATCTTTATACCTAGAGAAAATTAATAGCCCGCCTTCATACTCTAGTACAGTTACATTTGGGAAATTAAATATTTATTCATCAATCCTTTCCTGTTCTGCCATCCTATCATGTTCTTCAATTCTTTCCTGTCCTCCAACCCTATCCTGTTCTTCAATCCTTTCCTGTTCTTCCATCCTATCATGTTCTTCCGTCCTATCCTGTTCTCCAGTCCTATCCTGTTCTCCAATCCTATCCTGTTCTTCAATCCTTTCATGTTCTTCAATCCTTTCCTGTTCTTCAATCCTATCCTGTTCTTCAATTCTATCTTGTTCTCCAACCCATCCTGTTCTCCAAACCTATCCTGTTTTTCAAACCTATCCTGTTGTCCATTCCTATCTTGATCTCCATCCCTATCCTGTTCTTCCATCCTATCCTGTTCTCCAACCCATCCTGTTCTGCAAACCTATCCTGTTTTCCAACCCTATCCTGTTCTCCAACTCTATCCTGTTCTCCAATCATATCTTGTTTTTTAATCCTATCCTGTTCTTCAAACCTATTCTGTTCTCCAACCCTGTCCTGTTCATCTATCCTATCCTGTTCTTCAACCCTATCCTCTTCTCCAACCCATCCCGTTCCAAACCCTCGTTTTCCACCTATATTCTATATAATCCTATAATATTCTATTGTAGGAGGAGCTAGATCTATCCGCCCCTAACAAGGCTGCTATGCTGAGCCTACCCCTGGAGAAGAAATGGATTATATGGAACTCTAGAAAGGGAAGAGAAGAACAATCAGATCTTTCAAGCAACCCTGAGTACTACACAGACAGGTAAAACTTCATTTTAAGAAATTAAAACCTTGATAAGTAACTTTTGAAGAATAGATAATTACTTTTCAGTATTTCCCAAAAACTGTAAACTTGGCCATTTTTCAATTATTCTTTTGGTATATTCCTAGAGAACGATTTTTGGAATATTAGAATAATGCTTTTAACTTGATTCAGTGCTTCACCATGTGGATTTCTCCGAAGTAAGTAAATTGATAAATAAATTCCAAACAGTTGTATATTACAGCACCATGG